GACGGCCGTCCGAGTAACAGGAGCCGTGCTCACTGCTGGCAGCCGGCCTAGCGCCTCCTCACGGGGCACGGGTCCCAAAGAGCTGCCCCCCCACCCCCCACGGACACGCTGTGGGTCACAACCTTCCGCGTAAACTCACAGACAGAGCTGGTACTGGTATATGGGGCTCATCTCCCCTTGCAAACTACCAGCCCCCCGAGGGCAGGGACCAGCCGGCAGGGCTGCTCATCCTGGGTCTCCAGCAGACTCTCCAACTGCATTACAGATGCAGAGGCGAAATGAACCTCAGAAAGGGAAGTCTGGAAAAGCCCAAGCAGGACCGAGAGAGGAAAGTGCCCCCCGCACGCCTGGGGAACCGGGTCTGTTTTGGTCAACGCAAACCCCGGAGAAAAGGCCATGATTCCTAGGAACCGCACGGCCCCGTGTGGCTCGGGAGCGGTGGAACGTGAACTCGGAGGGAGTGAACGTCAGAAGAAAGTTCACCGGCATCGATGACCGAAAGGGGGCCCGGGGTGTCCGATGACCAAGAAAGATCGTGGCCTCCGCGCACTGCGATGTAATCTTGGCTGAAGAAAATAGAGGAGCGTAAGCTGAAGCGAGACAGAAACACGGCAGATCTCGTTTGTAAACACGGACGGCATCAGCCAGAGGTCACCGCGGTAGACCAGCCGGCTGGGCGGTTCTGCGGGCCTCTCGCAGGCAGGTGAGAAGGCGACGCACCGCCCCGATACCCGGGGGACAGCCCGCGGCCCGAAAACCGACCCCGCCACCATACAGCCGAAAGGGCTTGCTGTAGCACTGGAAGAAAACTGTACCCTAACGTGACGTCTTCCCCTCCTGGCCCTGGCGGCTCTCAGTTGAGCAAGCTGCGCACGAGGTGACCCAGACACTATCACCACGTCCAGGCCAGCGTCCAAGTAAGGCTGCCCGGCCTCGGCAGGCATTACCTCAGTCAGAAAACATTCACCGGGGGCCTCTGAGGTGACGGGCACCGGGCTGGGTATGGGGACGCACGGGTGGGAAGGGCGAGACTGACCCTCGCCGGGCGCCACCGGGGAAGAGAGTGTACACACGCAGACAGGCCCGGACGGCGCGGTGCGCCGCGGGAACAAAGGTGCTCCCGTGTCGGCGAGGAGCCAGGGCGCGCAGGAGAGACTCAGCAGCAGAGTGTGTGGCAGCAACTGGAGAGTCCGTTCGAGATCCAGGATTTCAACCCGGAGGCTGGAATCTGAAGGAACAGGAGGTGTGCAGAGCCAGGGCCAGGGCACCCGGGCGGGCAGGAGGAAGGGCAGGGTCAAAGGTCACAGGGCAGGGCGGGGAAAAGCCGAGGAGGCCCAGCAAGCGGAGGGCGGCAAGGGGCCAGCAGAGCGGCCGGCCGAGGTGGAGATGGGGCACAGCCTGGCTAGCCTCTTGATGACCGAAGGGCACATGAGGAAAAGAGCGATGTGCCTGCGATTCTAAAGGCCGGTCGCTGGGGGGCCAGGGTGGCAAACAGCCTGGAGACGGCCCAGACCAGAGTAGAAGCTGGAGGGCCCGTGGGGAAGTCGGTCCGGGAAGGAGGCAGCGGTCGCCAAGAACGGAGCGGGAACGCTGATCACGGAGCGAGGAGAATGCACCCCCATAGGTCCTGGGGGTGGGTCCTGGGACCCAGTGACAGCCTGGGCGGGGCGGGGGAGGGGGTGGGGAGAGGAGAACCCGGGATAACGCTCACCGCTCACCGAGGGGACGGACGGCAGGGTCCCTGCCTGCCAGGGGGAAGACAGAGGGCGGGAGAGAAGCGGAAGGAGCAGCAAGGGCTCCGTGCCCGGTGAAGGGGCAGAAGCCTGCAGGGAACACGGGACTCCTCGGCAAGGAGCCGACACATGAGGCCGCGGCTGGGGGCAGGGAGCACGACCTAGACAGAGAGAGATGACGGCAGGAGGGGCCGGGGCCAGCAGCCCCATCGTTCAGGGGTCAGGCAAGGGAGCAAAAGGGACCGTCGGGTGGCAAGGAGCGAGGAGAGGGGGGTGTTCCGAGGACGAGGGCGCAGGCGCTGGGGAGGAACGCCGCGGAGCTGGAGCGGGACAAGGGCGGAGGCCGGCAGCCTGCGGGTGGTGCGCGACCCCGGCAGTCTCGGTGGAGAGGTGGGAGCAGGGGCCAGACCGTAGGGTGTGAGGGGGAAAGGAAAGGAACGGAGACGGTGGGTTTGGACGCCGCCCGTGGAGACGTTTTCAGGGGAAGGGGAGCAAGGACCTGGGACGGAGGCAGGAGAGAGGGGTTAGGTGAGAGAAGCCACAGTGCACGCACCCCGTGTGGCAGCCGCTGGCACGGGGCTGTTTAAGCGTGAATGCGATGGAAAACTCAGGCCCTCAGCCACCCCAGCCACGCACCCAGCGGCCACGTGCGGCAGCCACACGGGACTGTGCAGACACGGGACACTTCCGGCAGCACAGAGTCCTACCGGACGGCACTGAACTGAGGCATGTCGTCTGCTGGTGGGAAAGGGCCGGAGGGAAGGCGGCGGAAGACGGAGAAATGTTTCCCGAGGAGGCGAGAGGGGATGGGACGGACAGTCTCCCGGGGGCCGTGGGGCTCTGGCTGGGTGAGAGGAGGGCCTGGCCACCCGCTCCGCCGAGCCGGGGGGAAGAAAACCGGCGGGGCGGCCGTGCGGGCGCTGCAGGGGTGGCGGCAGGCGAGGCTGCCCTTGGCCTTGGCTCCTCTCTAGCCCCTGGGAGGGAGGCCAGGTGTGTGAGTGTGGGCAGGTGTGTGTGTGGGGGGGAGCAGAAGGGGGGGCTCTGAGGGGCGAAGGAGGCACGAAGAAGCTGCCGCCTCGGGGGGAGTGAGAGCACAGCCCTGTGGGGACACCGCGCACGCAGTGACCCTTCACAGAGAGGAGCAGGACACAGGGACAGCGGAGGGAGGAGAAGCGCCGTGAGTGGGCAGAGGCAGACTCAGATCTCCCCCTTGAACCCTGCCCGCGGCTGCCAGCACAGCCTCGGCGAGTCCGCGGGGCCACACAGAAGTCACCGGCCGCCCCTGCCGCCCCTGCCCGGCCCCGCCTCCTCCGTCCCCACTCCACTCCCAGGGACGATGACACTGGTTCTATTTTCAGTGGAAACGGCTCCCTCCGCCCGCCTCTGTCCAAACGGCTCATCCAGCCCCAACCCCATCTCGGTTTACAGCCGCGGCCTGTGCGTTCCCATAAATTATAGACGGAGTGGGCACATTAAAAATGGCAGCAGTAGGGAGGAGTCCCAGAGACCAGCCCTCACCTCTGGGACGTGAGTAATGGATATTTATGGGTGATGTTAAAATTACATGAAAGACATGTCCCGTGTTTAAACGAAACCCCCAAGCTCCGCCTCCCTGCTTCTCCACAAACAAGCATTATTTTCTGACATTTTCTTTAAGCTTTTATGTGTAAACATTTTCATTTCCACGGAACTACTTGGTCTCAGCCAGCCAGAGTTTCAATATTTGTTTTTGATCACACGAGTGTATTGGCTTGGTTTTGTGTTGGCTGGCGGTGGGTGGGTGGGGGTGGGGGGGTTGGGGGTTGTGGGGGGAGCAGGAAGTTAAAATTACCAGATCCCTTTATCTTGCATCTTGAGATCTAAATTTGCCAACTCCTTCCTCGAATACTTTTTTTTTAAGTGTGTAATCGGAGAGCCACAAAGGTCCCCGCTGCCGGAAGGGCGGCCCTGTCCTGCTCTACTGGGGGGTCCCTGGAAATGCTGCAGTGTGTCTGCCTCCCAGCCGGGGCACCCCTGGTGAACCCTCCCAGTTTCCGCACACGAGAAACCTCGTCCATCTGCACGAGTGTCTTGAGCACACACCCTGGCCCCTGTCTGTCCCCCCGTCCTGTCCTGTCTGTGGCGGCCCAGAGCCTTCATACTTCCCTTCCTCAGAACTCCCCTTGGCCTGCCCCTGACTCCTTCAGGCACTGCGCAGACCCCACAGACACAGTTCACGAGGAAACACGACTCCAGAAACTTTTCTAGAGCGAGACACAGGTCAGCCACTGACCCACGGGCACCGGATCCAGCCCCCAGGACCTCCTTGCTCCTTGCCCCTGCTCACCCATGCCACGCGGGAGAGCAAGACCTCCGGACGCACGGGGCACAGGGCACACGTCTTTGGGTTACGGCAAGGGCTGCAAGAAGGGCACTAAGCTCAGCAGCAGAGGTCAGAGGTTCAGAGAGACGCCAGTCCACTTGCAAACCCACCCCCCACGCCCAGGCCGTGGCTGCCCTCTGCCCACACCCAGGGTCCCCCTACGAATGCTCACCAGCTGCCCGACACCCCAGGGGGAGTCCCCCACCCGAGCCAGGCCTCGGCTCTTCCTCACCGCGAAGCGGGCATGGTGACCGTTCCCTGCACGCTGCCTGCCGACACCCCCTCGAAGTGCACCCCCCGGGGGAGCGAACGCACGCCGGGAGGTACCTGCTGTCGGCACCGCGGCTCCCTGCCTCGCAGCGCCTGCCCCTCGGAGAGCAGCCGCCGGGAGAAGCCGGCCCTGCGTTTTAAATTACCTGCGGGCTCTGAAGCATTAGCCACACCGACGACGGAGAATTTCAAGTTCGCGCCGAGCATCTCCTCCCAGGTTTCAAAGCCCGGAGCCTCCTCACCTAGCTGCTCGGACGGCGGCCCCCATCTCGGTCGTCTCAGAGTCCGCCCTCCCTGCGCTGGGGGGCTGTCGGCGCTTCCTTCCCAGGAAAACTTGGATTTCCATTTTGTTTGCGATAAACCCCATGGCGGAGGAGGACCAACCGCTCCCAGCACTCGCAGACACAGGCCCTGGAGTTGGCCGCGCCCGGGAGCCCGGGGACCGCCGCATGGCCGAGGCTGCGAAGGCAGCCAGGCGCCTGTCCCCGCGCGGCGGCCGGGCGTCTTGCACTGGAGGGCCGCGCGCGCGGGCCGGGGTGGTGGGCGCGGGGCCGGCGGCGCACCAGCTCCGGGCTCGGGGGGTGGGGGGGGGGGCCTCCGAGCCGGCGCGGGGGGCGGCGCGGGGGCTCACTCACCCCATCTCGGGCGCTCTCCCGCGGCTGCTCCGAGGCGGCCTCTCGCGCTCGCTGTCCGCCCGCTCGGCAGCTGCTCCCCGGGAAGCACATGCGGCGGCCCTTGCGCGCCCGGCTCAGCCCCGGCGCCGCTCCATTCCGCGGGCTGTGCTGCCACTGCCGCCGCCGCCGCCGCCGCGCGGGCAGGCAGGTGGGGGGGCGGGGGCTGGGCCCCCGGGGGCAGGGCAGCCGCGCGTTGGGGCGGTGCCCGCCCCGCCCCGCTCCTTACGTAACCTCGTGGCCCCCGGGCCGTGCGCCCGGCCCAGGGGCGGGGGCTGCCAGTGCGCGGTGGCCACCCGCCTCCCAGGCAGACCCCTTCGCTTGACGATCCAGTGACGGTGCGCCCCCCGCCGCACGCCCCCTGTGGGCTCGGCGCAGAGCTGCCGGCGAGCGTCCTGCCCGCCCGCCCGCCTTGCCTGAGTCTCGCTCGCAGCCCGAGGGGGCTTGGGGCTCCCCTGCGTTTGCAGGTGAGGGCGCGGAGAGGCTCCAGGAGGGGGAGCGTTCCGCCCAAGGTCACGCATTCCAAGAAGAGCTAGGATCTACAGAACCGAGATGGGCGGGGCCGTGCCCTTCGAGGCCCCTCACCTTCCCGCCCCTGGTCCCTGGCCCGGCTGGGTGGCTCGGGGCACCGGCCGGGGCCCACAGGGCAGGGAGGGATCCTAACCCGCAGCAGGTGCCCTGGGGTTTTCCTTGAGAGAAGATGGGATGGGGGCTCTCGGCTGGAGGGTAATTAATGGCTTTTAAGGAGGTTTGAGCAAGCTTGTCCTTGTTCCTGGAGCGAGGGAATCGGAGGGGACCAACGTGGAACCATCAGCGGAGTGGTCTCCTGGTCTCCTCCTCCCTGTATCGGGGTCCCGCTCCCTGTTAGGGGCTGGCACTGGGGCCGGCCTAACCTCTGCCCCCTCAGGGCCCCCCACAGGGTCATCTCCTGCTGGGGGCACAGCGCCCCCAGGGGCCCGGCATCCCGGGGCAGCGAGAAGCCGGGGAGGAAGACATGGAGCAGGGCCGCGCCCACCCCAGCCGCGTCTCCCCTGGGACCACAGCTCTCCCTGCTGACCGCCGACGTTCTGTGGGGCAGGCACCGACCACTGGTCAGTAACTGTGACAGTTACAAATCCGATCACGTCACCCCTCTAAAAACCCTTCGGGGTCTTCGTTCCCACTGTCCCTGGGGTGAAGACCAAGACACTGGACATGTGCGCAGGGCCCCGCCCACTGTGTGGCCAGTGTCCTCTCCAGCCTTTCTTCCCCCCTCAGTTCCCCCCGTGCTGTCTGCACAGGAGCCCAGCTGCAGCCCCGGGACCTTTGCACACGCCGCTCTAGAGGAATGAACCAGTGACTGGGCCGGGCCACCGACACACCACATCGGCCCGGGCCTGTGCGCTCCAGTTCAGAGCCAGAGAAGGACAAGCGCTTGCTCCGGGAGGAAACCCGCGTGTCGCAGGCTGGATTCCAAAGGCCAGGGAGCGTTCCTGGCAGGGACCGTGGGGAGTAAGTGGCAGGAACCAGGTCGGCCGGTGTGGGGGCATCAGAGGGCAGATGCGCAGTGCACGGGGCCCGGGAGCGTGCAAACTCCGGACGGGAGTGTCCTCTGCTCCACGGTTGGAAAGGGCACACCCACGTCGCCTGGGGAAGATGCCGTGGCGCCAGGCAGGTGGGGCCGGTGAGTCACGGCGGGGCTGCTCACGCCGTCAGCGGAAAGCAGGGCGGTGCTGGAGGCGTGGGCCCATGTGAGGTGAGACGCTCCGTGGGAAAGTGGCTGTCTCTTTGAGGGAAGGCTTCTGCAGTGAAGTGAGGATGGATGTCCCTCCGGTCCCTTGGGAGGAGCAGCCTCTGTTCCCCTCCTTCCCCCCCAGCCCCGGGCCCAGGAGCTCGCCCACACGCCCAGAGCCCGTCTGAGCTTCGGAGCCAGCCTCCACCCGCACTGTTCCACCACCTGGACCCGTGCCTAAGGAGGGGCCCCTCATTTCCCTGTCAGTGCCTTCCCCTCCGTCGAAGCCAGCACGGCCACCCTTCTTCTACGGAACATTCCCCACCGGTGGGGTCTTCACACCCCACTTGTCGAGGGCGAGGATGGTGAAGCATCTTCTCTCAAGAGGCCTGAGGTGCAAGAGCCGAGGTGGGGTGGGGAGAGATCCCTCTCCGGCTGGGGGTTCGGGCAAAGCCAGGGAGAGTCTGGGCCCGGGCTGGCGTGTCCTTTAAGGCTGAACAGGAGAAGCCAGGCAGGGGCACAGGAAGGGAAGGAGAGGCGGGCAGGTCCCCCTCGGGAAAGGGAGGAGGCAGCCTGGGGGACAGGAGGGGGCGCGGTGGGGGCGGCCGGGGAGGTGGAGGGGACTCGCCCGGTGGGCTCCTGTTTCTGGAGGGGCCGGGCCACCACCGAACACGCACGGGAGGGTGGGGGCGGCGGGACGGGAGCCCGGGGTGAAACTTCAGCCTCGGGAAGGCAGACGCTGCCGTCCGGACGGGCCCAGAGCTCCGGATGAGCAGGGCGGGCAGAGACGCCCCCGAAAGCCTGGGCAGCCGGACCTTGGCCAGGGAGTCCCGCTGTTCTCTGTGGGCAGCAGCGGCGGCGTCCAGAATCCAGGCCCCGTCCAGCGTTCGGAAGGACGCTCTGCACCCTGGCGGGCAGATTGGACGGCCGTGGGTGCCCACCGCGGCGTGTGTGAGCCGCAGAAACACGGGGAACGGGAGGCAGCCCCACGTGCGCCCTCGCCCGTGCTGCCCACCGGCTCACCCTCCGGGGCACCCTGGGCAGGGGAAGCCCTGTGCCCCCTCTTGGGTGCCAGACAGGGTGACTTCCACGTCACGGCCCTCGGCTCTCAGAAGCTAGGGTCTAGAGACGTGACTGGTCTTAGTCTGGGGCGGGGGGATACCCGAGGAGCCCAGAGCACGTTGTCACACTGGAAAGTAAGGCGGTTCTCAAACCACCCAAAGGACGGGGCGTGTCTCAGGGACCCAGGAGCCCACCGCGAGGGCTCCCGGCCGCCTAAGGTGGAGTGTGCGCGTGTGCAACACGATCCGTAACTCTGTTCGGGGTCACGACGCAGAACATACAATAAATACACCGAAGTCCATGCCGACGTACGTTTTAAATGAGGAGAGAAGAGTGGAATCTTCCCTACGGAGGAATTCCCAGTAATATGTGTCGATTGTCCACCTCCGGGTGGAATTTAACGCCCTCACCTCCCCCCACCCCCCCACCCCGTGAGAGTGGGTTGGTCTGAGTGTCTCAGTGATTTGCTTTTACAGAAGGGAGGACGGGATTATGGGATGGGGACAACTACAGCCATACAGTGGAGAGAGCTGGCGGACACCCCCTGACCGACTGGTGGTCAAGGCTGACTTGGTGGGGGGAGCCGCGTCGATGCCGCAGACCGAGGACCTGTCGCAGGCCGGAGGGGGCTGAGGTGCGAGACGAGACCCATGCAGGCGCCCGGATGCGGTCCCGGACGAGGGAGAGGGAACACCGGGGAACTCCCACCGGTGTCCGGGGTTTGGCTCACAGTGCCGGGCTGTGGCCAAGGCGGTTCCCTGAGTGCACCGCGTGGTTGTGGGAGGTGCCGGCCACGCGGGGGGGTGTGCGGGAATGCTGCGTTATCTCTGCAGCTTTTCCATAAGTGAAACGCGTCCACAATGAAGAATTTATTAAGAAGGAAAGCAGCCCTTGGGGTCCCCTGTCTGCCCAGCCCTCCAAGCAGTCCAGTCACCGGCCACAGCAGAAAGGCGAGCACGTGAGACCCTGGACAAGGGACTCCTCGGGTGACAACTGGGCCTTCCAACGGCTTTCCGGACCCACAGCAAGCCGCTGACTTCTGTGCCTCTCCGTGTCTTCACTGCAACCCACGGGAGGGCAGGCATTTCCCACTGCAGCCCAGCACACGCATCCGCTTCATCCATATTTATGTCTGTATGAAATGGGAGCGAAGTTACATGTATACATACTGTGAAAGTTTTACAAAATAATTCTTATCCTCTCACCTACGAAACATTCTCACATTTTTCATTCTGTTCTATTTTTAGCAGCTGCGCTGCTCGCAACCCACTACATTGATTTCAAAACCTATAATCTATGCATTTTTTCTTTCCACGGCAAAATGAGGCTCACCATGTCCACGCACAACATTATTATCAGTGTGTTCAGATTTCTGATACTGCTGACCCGAGGCTTGGAACAGTTTTTTTTCTTTTGACCATGAGAGTTCAGTCCTTTCAAGTGCACATGAAACAAATGTCTTATTAAAGCCATTAATGAAATGAGTGACTGTCAGGTATTATGGAGCTGTTAGACTGTACAGTAACAGGAACGCATTTCTTCTTTCAACAAACACCGATCACCTGCTATGTATACGGCCGGTATTGTGCTGGGCACTAGGGATAAAGCACTCAGCAGAAGAAACGGTTTTCCCACCCTGGAAGCATGAAATTGGGTGTAATACATTAATCAAAGGATCGCACAGATGTACAGACGATGATCTGTGTGGATGAGAGCCTTAATTCAGGCTGAGGCGGCAGTGAGTAATGGCCTCTTTGAAGAGACATCTGAGAGGCCGGGAGAACAAAGGGGCATTAGCCCGACACAGTGTGGGGGGACGAGATCCCGGGCGGACGGAACTGCCAAGCCCCAGGCAGCCGGGAACCGAGCGTGTGTGAGCGCCCGGGAGAAGGTTCGCACGGCCGCCCGTGCTGTGGGCCCAGCGAGGGGCGGCGGGGGGGGGTAGGAGGGGCGTCCGGGACCCTGAGGCCAGGCTGGGGACTCGGGGTTTATGCAGACGTACTGGCAAGCAGGTTGGGAAATACCGTGATCTGGCTTACATTTTTTTAAGGTCGCTGTGGCTCCGGGAAGGAGGAGAGACGAGGAGCCAGGAGTATGCAGACCGGCTGAGGGGCGTTAGCCGCGGCCCCGAAGGTGAGGGCGGGACGGAGGGGGGTGACCACAGATCAGGGATGCGCACGGAAGGCGGACTCGGCAGGTCTAGGCGACGGGTTCCACGTGGGCCAGGATGTAAAGTCGCATCATGGTACAAAGAAAACATATTCTGTGTGAGGACGCACAGAAAATAATCGGTATGATAGCTGCGCCGTGAACACAATGACGTAAAAGCTACTAGCCTGTACGCACGAGGCCTGGAAGTACGGAAAATTAAAGGTCTGGTTTGTTGGAGTGGCAGAAGGGATACGGGATAAAACACACAACACAGGGTCCGTCCGAAATAACGCCTGCTTGCCTGTGGCTGGTGGGGCAATGATATGGATGTAACCACTTATACTTCTAATTGGAACATGTCACCTAAAACTGTCCTGTGATGGGCTTGAGTGTGACATCGTTACGTTGCTATGATGCTGTCACGGAACACCACCCCCCCCAAACTCCAGCATGCCACCTGGGTTGGGGGTCACTGCCTGAAGCCCCCCGGAGCCCAGACTCGGGGACAGGCCGGAACAGAGCAGCACACGCCCAGCTCCCTGGCTGGGCCTTCCTGAGACTCTGGGCCCCCGATGAGAACTGAGAAACCCCAGGGACCCGTGGGGCCAAGGGGGAGCGGTACTGGGCTGGGCGCGGGGAGGGCGGAGCTGACCTAAGGCCTGCGCTCTCTCTGAGCGGGGGTAGAGTCACATGGAGACCTGGCCCCAGACGGCGGCAGCAGAACAGACGGTGCCCGTGCGCATCTCTGGAGCAGCCGGGATGGGGCGGGACGGCCGGAGGTGGGGAGGGGGGGAGGGATCCCACGCTGAGTCCGAGGCGCACGCGTCAAGACCGAGGAGGAGTTCAAAGGCGGTGAAGTCACCCTCGGCACTGAGGCTCCCAACTGGAGACACTGAGCAGACGTCGAAGCTGGTTGAGGACGTGCGGCTCCCAGAGCGAGAGGAGCAGCAGCAGCTCAGAGGGGAGGGGAGACGGGCACCGGTTCCGGCCGGGCCGAGGCGCAGGGATCTGGGGAACAAACAGGGGGAGATGTCCATCAGGCGGGTGGCTGCGGCGGGCACCGGGCCTGGGAGGGAGACCTGGGGGCCACTGGCAGACGGTGTCCCACCCAGGAAGGGCCTGGGGCAGGCCCAGGGGCCGGGCCGAGGAGGGCACTGAGGGACTGCGTCCGCAGGGGAGGACAGGGGCCCTGTGAGGGTCACAGAGAGGTCACCGGCAGCCGGGGGGCCACCCTGCTCTAGAGGTGAGCACCCTGCCCCCTCTTGGGTTCTTGAGCTGAACCAAACACACTCTTCCTAAGAAAGGAAATAACTCTTCACCAGAAAACTGAGAGCAAAACAAAAACAAACAAGCAAAAAGCAAATCACACAAAATAGAAACAAGTGGGTTTCCAATTCATCTCAACATAGCAAACATTTACTGACCGCCTACTATGTGCCAGCCTGGCCCCGGACAGCTCCACCGGTCAGCTGGTCAGACACATGGCCCACTCCTACTCCCTTCCTCCATCCCCCGCCCCGGGGGGCCACAGCGGCTCTGGTTCCCGGCATCTTTGCCTCCAACAGAGCTCAGCTCATGCACCGGCGGTTCTAAGTGAGGTCCCCCCCACCACCCTGCAAATCTGGGGTCCTCACGGCAGGTGACAGCTTGCCCGAACACCACCTGTCTCCCACCAGCTGCCCGGCGGGTTCCCGGCTGGCCTACCCACCAGGCCCTCGCCTGTGCTGCCCCAGGGCGCCCCCCCCCCCCGCCCTTCCCCAGCTCCTGTGCGGGGTGAGATGGGTCACCGGGCAGCCGGCAGCTCCTGTGCAGGGCGAGATGGGTCACCGGGCAGCCGGCCCACCTTTCCTGGCATTTCTCACCACCCCCCACAGCTCGCTCCTCGGGGGTCTCTGGGACTGTCCTTCCGTAAGCACAGAGTTGCAACGCCGGGACAGTCAGCACAAAACCACTTCGGATCAAGGCCAGACCTGTCCACTCACTCGGAGCAAGAGGCCTCCCCAGCGCCACCCGCCCAGGAGACTGCCCCCTGCCCCCCGTTTCTCTGTGATCCCTCACCCTCGTTCACGCCTCCAGCAAACACTTCCACACCCGGGCTGGTTCGCAGTCGGGGGGCTGCCGCCTCGGCAGGCTCTTCCCCTGGGCAATGTGCGTTCCATTATACGTGCTCCGTGGCTCTCTCCGCACACGCATCTCCCTCGTGTGCATAGCTCTCCGGCCTGCCAGTCCCTCCGCTGCGGCGCAGGGGCTGTGCGGGCGCTCGGCGCTCTGCACTCGGGTGCCCCTGCGAACCCACGCGCTTGCTCACGTTTGCGGGTCTAACGCCGTACGAGTGTCTTCCCCGGGTGGTTTTCGGGTGCACTGTCTGCTGGACAGGTTGGGGTTTCCCCTCGCTGTGGGAACACACACACACACACACACACACACACACACACACAACACTGACCATCGTCCTCATCTCTAGGCGTAGCTTCATGGGACTGAGCGCGTCCACGGTGCTGCGCCACCGCCACCGCCGACCACCTCCAGCACTGTCTGTCGTCCCGGATCTGAACGGGTGACGCGACGCCAAGAAGGCAGGGACATGCTCGATTCACCTTTCATTCCTTATTCTGCACCCAGTGTGTGCTCGGTGAACGTCCGTGACCGGTTAGAGCAGACAAGAGGTTTAACATGAAAGACCCCGAACCAGTCCCAACAGCCCCCAAACCGCCTCTTCAAAATTGACTCTTGTCCCAGGAAGGGGAGGACCGAGCCAAGAAAGGAAGGAAACGCACACACGCTTGTTCCCGCCGGGCCCAGCATCCGGCTAGGACCTGCCCTTGGCCCGAGGGCCTGGGACCGCAGAGCCCTGAAGAGCACGGGGTGAGGGGCATGAGACCCTGGGTGTCCCTTCCGAGACAACACGAGACTCTTACGAGCCCAGGCTGGGCCCCGAACCAGAGTGCCGGGAAACAGAAGCACCCGGAGGAATGGACTGAGCCCCTCACTGCTGCGTAAGTCCCCCGGACAGCTAGAGCGGGGTCCCCCAAACCGCCCTCCTCGTGTAGCTCACGCAGGGCGTTTGTCACACAGGGCGTGTGTCACACAGGCCGGTTCAGCCCTTCTGGGCCCGGTACGGGGACCCGCGTGTGAGGGCCTGGACTGGTTCTGGCCCATGGAAGGCAAACGTGGGAGAAACACCGACCAGAGTGCCCCACCAGCAGTGCGGGGCCAGCCCCGCCGCCCGGGGCCGTGCAGGTGGAGGCGCCCAGCCAGGCCGCGTCACGCTCCCGGGAGCCAGTCGGACCGCGGGGCTGTGCTCCCAGACACAGGCCCCCGTGGGCCCGCCGCCTCTAAACACTGCCCCCCTTCCCCCACAGCGCCCTCCACACCGGGCTATATACGGCCTCTGACGGCCGCCCCCGCTGCCGCGGGCCTCGGATGATCCCCAGTCCTGGCCGCCCTGGGCCCTGGCCTGCTGCCCCGCAGCCGAGGGATGACAATGAGATACGGTCCCAATTTAGAGCAGACCAGCCAGGTACTCCCGGGCCAGGTGTTGATTAGGGAACGACTATAGATAGCGGGTGACATCACATTCCACCTTTAGGTCCGGCCGGGTCATTGTATGGAAACAAGCTGGGAAGCTGGCGTCGACCAAATCTGGGGTCGGTGTCGACAGAGGGGGACACCGGACACCGACTCTGCCCCGGGAGCTGAAATGTCACCGCGGGGCCCTCCCGACACACGCCGGCCGGCCGGAGCCCGGGGGCCCATTTCAACGGACACGGCTGGCCCCCCCCCCCCACAGCCACCCAGGGCGCGGCGGGCCAGAGCGGGCTGGACACTCGTGTCTTCCTTCAGTAAAGCCAGGCCGGTTTTCACTGAAACACAGCTTCTGACGCAGCTCCGTACCCGTCTGTCCTCCCCAAAGCGCACACAGGGCAGTGTCCCCGTGGGACGCCAGCAGGCGGGGCGCAGCGGGGGAGGTGCCACGCCCCGCAGGCCGGGGGACGCCGGGCTGAACAACGTGGAATGGGTGTCTTTACTGTTTTCTTAAGGCATCTCTAATAGATCAACGTAGACCTAAGAAACTCCAGTAAGTGAACACAATCTATTGTCTAAATGCATTTAGTGGCAATGAAACCTCAGGTCCTTTTCCAGAGGACACGTGTTGGGAAATGACGACATGAAGGGTCCTGTCGCCCAGGGCCAAGCTGACGCAGAGAAATAAGCCGCTGCCGCTCTGCCAGCCTCAGGTGAACACCGCCCCGCCCTCCCCCCGGCCCCCGCTGTGCCGTGTAACCACAGAAACCACCTCTGGGGTCAGCCCGTAGAGCACAGCAGGGAGCAGGCTGTCTGGGCTCCTGCCTGGGCTCCCCGCCATGAACCCGGGTGCATCATGCACCTTCCCGGTGCCCCACGTGCCCCGCAGCAGCACGGGCAACGCCAGGCCCCTCCCGACGGCTGCGGTGAGGGCCAGACCGAGGCCCACACCGAGCCACTGCGTGCTGCTAAGCAAGACAGGCTTTGCCCTCCTGCCCACCTCTGGGTCGGCCTCCCGCTGGACAAACCCACGGTCACTGCCGGGAACGCAGCAGAACTGGGGGGCGGAGAGCGGGTGACAGCAGACTGACGAGAGCCCCTGTGCTGGAGCGCAGAGCATCTGGGAGGCCATGTGGGGCGACGGGCCCAGGAGGGAGGGGCTGGTGGTTCCCCGAGACACGATGGTGGTTCCCCGAGACACCGTGAGCAGGAGGAGGGGGAACTGACTTTGGTTAATCCTTATAACCATGATCTGGGCGGTAGGAAACAATAACCATTATTATGTCACTTTAGAAGTAGGAAACATGAGCCCCTACCTCGGCTAAGGTCGCTCCGGGTAGCTGCACCTAAAGCCAACGCCCTTCCCACCTACAAACGCTGCGGACCCCAGCAGGGCTGAGCCCCTGGCTGTGGGAGGAGGCGGATGCTCACCTGCCCCAGGGAAAGGCAGGGCCGGCCCTCCCCAGTGTCTCACTGGGCGCGGTGACATTCGAAGAGACGTGCGTCCCCCCCAGTGAGCTGGCACCACACCTCGTTCCACACGGGCAGAGATGGCGCCACGCAGGGACCCCCGGGGGCACGTGGGAGAGAAGCGGAGCCAGGAGCCCCGCGAGCGGGCCCAAGGACGCCGGAGCAGCCGCTGGTCTCTGAAAGGCGCGCAGCAGCAGAGGAAGGGCCAGTCTCCACCCTCCACACCCGAACCCGGGCTCCTCCCAGGGCCGCATGCCCGGCGGTGTGTGTGCAGTGCGTCTGCGGGAGGTTCTCCGCCCCCGTCACCTCTCCCGGTCACCGTCACTGAGCTCTGTCTTCTCCCCCCACTCTGAAGTCTCTCAGGACTTGGACTGGAACCAGCTGTTCCTGCACCCCGTCAGTGTGCCGTGGACCATTTTACGTCACGCATGCGCTGCGTCGTAACTGTCTTCTGTTCGACTCTTCACGCAGACCTTAGAATTTCTGTTCCACATTTGTTTAATTCTCTCCACTCCCCCAACCTGAAGCCCGGGCACACTCTGGATACTGATAAATACTTGTAAAGTGAAAAAAAAAGCATGGTCACAAATCGCAAGAGAGTCTTCAGATTAGGGTTTTCTCTGGAATTTGATGTGAACAGAAATAAAACGCAAGATAAATGACTAAGCTTTGTGTTTGGTTGACGAAAACGAGCAAATTAAAGTGAAGTGCTAAGGGGAAAAAGCGACTTTTGCTGCAGAGAGAGAGGGTGCCGTCAGTGCTGGCCGGTTTAGTCGCAGGCGGGCTGTCCCACACCCTCCTGGGAGGCTCCCCGCACGTGTATTGCGGGAGGGGACACACGGGAGCCACCGTCGGGTGCGGGGGCGGCTCCCGAGCCTTGTGGGGGATCCACCTTCATCTGACTCACCGTCTTCAATGTTTGCCTTCACGTTTGCCAACTGTCTGAACTGGCGCTGCAGCTGCTCCGATCATCTGCTGGGAGGGAACTTCTGGGTTATGTCACCGCTCTTGGAGCCCGAAGCCGGAGAACTGAAAACCAGCGAGGCTGGCTCCTCCTCTCACATGGTCGCGGACGCCTTTCCCGGCCTCGGCTGCCTCGGCCGGGCCCCAGGCGCTGGGGAGGGGGAGACATCACATGGCGGGGGGGCCCGGCCTCCCGGCGCTTGCATTCCAGCAGGAGAGACGGGCACGGAAACGGACAGATTTGATAAGGTGGTGCTGTGACAAGGGGGTGCCCGGGGAACACAGACGCTGTGCACAGGAGGGGGTGAATACGGCTGAGTGTCCGCTGGGTGGGAAAGACGAGTCAAACACAAAACCGGGGAGGAAGGCAGGGGCCAGGTCAGCAGACATCTACTGAGCGCCAGCCCCGCCTCACGTCGCCAGACTCAACAAGTCGGCCGGAGACGTGAAAGACGCAGCCTCACTCTCCAGGAGTTTAGAATTGAGGTGGATGTAAACAAATGACGATACATCATGGTAAATATGTGACTACACATGTTAAAGACATGGAGGAAAAGACACTCGGTTTTCGCTGGAGTTGGGGACGAGGAGGGGGCGTCACGGAAGGCCGGCGGAAGGTGACGCAACAGGCTGAGAGCTGCCGCGTGCACCTGGGCAGGGAGGGCGGCGATGAGGCTGCACAGGTAGCGCAGAACCAAACCGTAACGGGCTGCAGCTCCGCACTGAGGAGTGCACAGTGCGTTCCAGAAGCAATCAGGGACCACCTAAAGCTGGGCGGATCGAGGGGTAGGTGCGATCGAGTTTGTGGTTTGGAAAGAGCCCACTTTGGGCTGGCTGGTGGATACACAAGAACCGGCGACATCATTACCTACTTTCTTGTTCTGTGTATTTCATTACAGTTAAAGAGGGGCGCTCTCCTGGCAGAATGGAGGAGGGTCTGGAGGGGCGCAAGGCTGGCTATCGGGGCCAGCTGAGGTCTGTCACCGTGCTCTGGATGAGACACGGTGAGAGTCAGAACTAAGAGTGGCGAAAGGAGAGGAGTGGACACAGAAGAAATGGTCAGGCGCTCAGTCCACGGGCCTCGGGGAGGGACTGGGAGTGTGGGAGGAGTCCGGGATTGCTGGCTGCCAGGTTCCTGGTGTGGGTAGCAAGGAGGAAGCATTCTTCAAGATTGGTGGAGACAGAGGTGGATGAACAGGCTCAGGAAGAAAGATGAACTCACGTCACATTTAGACACAGGCTGGAGACGCCCGCCGGACATCAGAGAGAAGTTTCTAGTCGGCAGGAGTATTTATGAGGCAAAGGCTCAGACAGCACGGGTGGCCGAGCCGTCAGCACAGGGCTGGAAGCCGGAAAGGAGACTGGGTCTGCAGAGGTAACATAAGGAGCGTACAGACAAGGGCAGGGGACACCGACACTTAGGGACAAGCGGGGCAGGAAGCGGTGTCCCAGGGCAGAGGAGCACCATGCAGAACTTGGAAACAAAGTGAGGAGGAGGTTTAAGGGGGGAAGGAGGTAAGTGTCAAACGCTGCACAGACACTAAATAAACCGAAGACTCGGACAAGCAGTCACTGAATTTGGCCCCAGGTCCCCGGCCCGAGTGAACGCCGCCAGAGCGGCTTCAGCGGCGTGGTGGGGTGAGGCGGGGGCAGACCGGGCGGAGGAAGGGGGAGGGGCGCTGCAACGCTGCAGGTGCAGAGCGCTCTTTGTAAGAGACTCCCCGGTGCAGAAAGGAGATCCTAGATATTCAGCGGAGGACAGGGGATTGAGGGCAGGGTATCGGTTTTGTTTTGAGACTGGAGAAACCTGAGCCAGCCCCCACGGTGGGTGCGGGGGTGGGAGGAGCCGGGAAGGGGGGAGGTGGAAACAGAGAAGGGGGAGGTGTACCTGCCAGGGAGCAGTGCCCGGAGGAGCAGTGACCGCACAGACCGGAGTCTCACGGCGGCACAACGGAGAGATGAAAGGTGAAGAGGGCAGAAAGAGGTCCAACTGCACGTACAGGATTGGGGAACCCAGGGCATTAATGCTGAAGCCTTAAGTTTATCTGTGAAATAGGAAACTAAGTGAAAAAACAGAAGCCCAGAGAGGCGGTGACTTGCGTGGCTGCTGGTCTGCACAGCGGCTCCCGCACAGGAGAGCAAGGAGCGGTGGGGAGGGGCAGAGCACACCGCACCGGTGGTGGCCTCCGCAAGTAAGGCCGCGGACCGACGAGGCTTGTCTGGGGCGAGTGTGGGATGCGTAGATCTCGGCACCACCCACCGGAATCTCTGAAGTTCATACAGAGGCATTCACTGGGTTCGGTCCAGACGGTTGAAACACCTCGCTCTCTCGTGCTGTCTCATGGCTGCACCCTTGAAAGTGGACAGTGGGGATGGTGGTCAGAACATACGTTCCAAGGACAGGGGATGGGGGAGGAGCCTCAGATTGCTTAGGTGCAGCCCTCTGAGAGGTCTCCCCCGACCCTAACCCCCAGGGAGGAGGTCAGGTGCCTGGACTCCCTGTCTGTTGCTCTCCCCACCCCCCACGTTGTTACACTCACTCACACTGAAGACACTTGCGTCACCTGAACATCCGCTTTAAAATGAGTCTTCCTATACTTTTCTTTTCAAAGATCACCAGGCAAGGCTGGCTTCACACACATGTGGAACAGATTCCCTGTCACTCAGGACAACACACTCGCCACCACCTTGGACTGAAACCCAGCAGATTCATCCACGTACAGTGGGGGAAACGTCAGAGACTCACCCTTGGATGAGGGTCCTGCTCACTCGGCCATTTTCCAGTGCTTAGAAAATGCTTTCAACACTTGCACTGTGATGTCGCTTCAGTGAAGAAGATTCTGGAGGAAAATTACCTGGAGGAAAGATGATGGTCGTGTGGGTGGGGTGAGGAGAGGCTGAGAGCAAACTCTGGACAAGCCCCTCGGCCTCTCTGGGCGTTTCCGGGGTCCGGTCTACATGTAACACGCGCGTCTGATGGAGGGAGGGGAGGACCGAGGCGCTGACGGAGACCACCGGAGCGGCCAGCGGAGCATGCAGTCAGCCACAGGATGTGCGGGAGGGGTGCCAAAGGTGAGCGCCGTCCTGGGGCTCCGGATGAGCCCTGTCACACGAAACAGAACTAAACAGCTACTGTGCAATGCGAGTGGAAATCACTTGTACTTAGAAAACACAGTTTGTGCCATTATTTATGTACGGACAGCAGGAAAAAGGAGAGAGAAATACCTTCATATCATAATCACAAACTTCGGAATTGGAGGAGACTTTGATTCCAACCCATTAAGCCCAATTCACAACTTTTTCTCCCCCAAGATGGCTCATCTTCCCTTCTTCTGTGATTTCTCCTAGGATATCTACCGGTTTCCGTGGTAGACGGTGATGCTCAGGGAGCAGGGAAACTTGTGACTAGCACTGGCTGGCTTTCTGCACGCTCCCGGAAACAACTCCCTTACACAAAGAACTCCTTATGCGGGAGGATGGCACGGAGGCAAAGAACTGGATTAAAATCTTGTAATCTCTGGTCAAAACAACTGCATGTAATTACAGCCACAGGAGTACGGATGTGATTCCAAACCAATGTCTCATACAACTCGAAATATTTTCTTAGAGACTAAACATTTACATGACATATAATAACTCTAATTACCATTAGCATCTTTTTTCACTTGATCCTAATGTACTTTATCTACGCAATAATTAATTCTTACAATAACTTCATGAAGCAGAGAAGCAGCGAGGACTATCACTCCCATTTTGCAGGAGATAAAGTCAGGGAGACAGGTCCCTGGCGGAGCCCAGGCCCCGGCGCAGAGGCTGCAGGGGCCGAGCCCCTGCCCTCTGGAGGGCCACGCCAACCGTGCAGAAGGGCCTGGGCCGTTCAGCAGCACCAAAGCTGTTTCACGTGCCTAAAGGTTTGTGGAGTCGGAAATGAAAAGAAAGGAGAAAACGGTGTTTCACTGGGGAGAAAGCAAGGCCTTTTGAAGTATCACAGACTTGACCAAAACCCTGCTGCCACTTACCAGCTGTGCCCTGGCATAAATGATATGCCCCTTCTTCTTTTAAATACCAAACGTTTTGGTATTTAAAGGCTAAGTGTCAATTATCTGGAGAATTCCTTTTCACGGAACAGATTATTTCCTGATGATGTCAGTAAATGAGGCACAGTAACTGATAAAATATCATTAATATGAAAAAACATTATGGGCAACAATAGTTTCATCTGAAAATTGGCTGGGATACCTAGAATTTTCCACAGAAACTCCCAGAAGCCCGTGAGCTCCCAAGTGCCATTAATGGACTTACAGAAAAGAAAGACACTCCTTTCTGCGTGAGTCCTGATCACCCAGGGATAACGCCATCAGAAAGTCACAAGGAAATCAGCAAACAGGCCTTCAGTGGCTCTCCTTTTCCAAATCTCCTGTCTCCTGACACCAGGTAGGGAAGCGCTTTCCCGAGCTTCTCAACGGCTACATCGCCACCCACATATTGTATTTATTCTAATCTTCTTTTCAGTGTGTGTTTCCTATCCCTGCCTCCTAAATCTGGGCATTTCCTGAGGCGTAGGCCCTGGCCTTCTGCTTTTCTCCATAAATACTTTCTCCTGCGGAGAAGCGCACATACACCGACGACTCCGACCGGTGCTTCTCCGTGGATGACTCACACACGGACACATGTGGGCACGGCCTCTGTGTCTTCAGCTTCGGCCCTGTGTTTCCAACAACCCCGAAGCCCTGTCCGTCAGACAGCTCACTGCCGCCTCAAGTTCTACAGATCTTTCTGAGCTCTGGGCTCCTGTCTGCTTTAAAACCAGCTCACCCTCTGGCTGCCCCTTCTCAGTCCCCGCTCCCCGGGCTTACGGAACGGGAGTCCTCCCGGACTCCTCCGGACCCTTTTCTCCCACCGTCTGCTCAGGGATTGACTCTTCAACGACGGCAACCTTGGTCTTTCCGCTTTCCCTTTTCCCCAGCACCAGGCTTGTCCTATCTGCCACCCGCCCTGTCCTGTAACACGCGTGCTCCGTTAATGGCTCTAAAACATGGCTCGGAACATTCGTGGTTCCATCGTTCATTCCAGAAACACGTGACCGAGTGCTTACTCTACACAGAGCACAACGTCACACACGGCACAACGCAGGAATGAACGGGGTGAAGGGCTCTGTATGGGCTGGTGGGGGAGGGGGGCGACTGGTGCATAATTTCAGCTCCGGGTTAGAAAGTGGTAAGCACGGAGTGAACACAGTGTAAGGGGCAAAGGGGGAATGGAAGGGGAGCAGCAGGAAATGAAGTCAGAGTTTTGAATCCACATTAATGAATTGTGGGGCATGCTGGAGGGTGGAAGGATTGAGCAAAAAAGAAAAAAAACCCAGAAAGATGAGTGAATAAATGAATGAATAACTAATTTTGGCCTTTATCCTCCAGGCAACAGGGAGCTGGTCAAGATTTTGGATCAGAGCTGTGCTACCAAACGCCAAGGTTGTGGGTTCGATCCCCGGTCAGGGCACAGACAAGAATCAACCAATGAATGCATAGCTAAGTGGAACAACAAATCAATGTTTTCCTTTCTCTCAAGTCAGTAAATAAAATAAAATAAAATAAAAAAAAGAAAATGATCCAAACCTATGGCAGCCGAATGCCAGAGGGGCCGACAGGGGGACGTGCTGGAGGAGCGGCGCCACTGGAAAAGGCACTGCCTTCCCGCCGTTCGGGTCACGATCACGGGGACTCCGATCAGGTGGAAGCAGCAGGACACCTGGGCGGGTGTCAGAACTCCTGCGGGGGTCCAGTCGGCAGAACCCGGTCACTGCTGGGCGCCAGAAAGGCAATAAATGGCACCCCATACAGACATCCGGGTACCCACGCCGGAAGCAGGGGGTGGCACGTACAAAAGGGGCGCAGAGTCTGCAGGTAGCCGGGAGGCAAGAGGCCGAGCTTGGGATATGCAGCTTGTATGCACCTGCGGAAGGTGGGAGAGGACGTGGCCGGGACACTCGGGGGCAGCCGGGCGCTGGCGCGTGACACCGGAGGGGAGAGGGGGCGTGTTTGGGGGAAACACGTTGGAAACGGCGTGTGGGCCTCCTCCTGCCGAGGCCTGCCCTGCAGGAGGCCGAGGTGCCGCGCCGCTGAGGTTACCCGCTCGCTCCACTCTCTGCGGCCTCGCTCGCCTCGCGTCCTCCACGGACCCGCGTGGGGGCAGGCGGCCGGGAGCGGCCTTTCCCTCCCTTCTCTGCGTATTTCCAGAACTTCCGTCCCTACGCGTCACCGGCTCCCACTCAAGGGGAACTAATATGCGGCGACGGCTTCTCCCACGCAGGTACCAGGGGGGCGCCCAGCGCCCTGGAGGTCGTCACGCCGGGCGCGCGCCGACCTTCGCACCACCACCTGAAAAACTGCGGGAGCGCCCCACGCCGCGCCCTAGATATCGCGAGATCTGACGGGCCCGCCTCTGCGTAGCTTGCCGGAAGCGGAAGTCAGGGGGGTGTCGGTTTCTGACAGTAGTCGCCCGGTTACCCTGGAGAGGCCGGGTGGCCGTCCGCTTCGCGGACCGGAGGTGGGTTTTCTGCGTGTTTCGGCGGCGGAGCTCGGCCCAAGCTGAGTAGGCACAGCGTTTGGAGGGTGATTTGCCCGCTTGGGTGCCGGGGAGGAGGGAGGCGGGCGGGCGGAGCGGAGCCGAGTGGCGAGCTGTCCTCGGTCTGCGGCTCCGGGTCTGGGAGCTTCCGCGAGGTCGGGAGCCCCTGGCCCTTCCCGGCCTCTGGTTTCCTTCGCACCCGGACATCTAAGGTGCCTCGGGAAGGGGCGAGCCTGCCACCGCCTTGGCAGACCAGCTGCGGTCTGGTTTGCTTTGGGAGCGGACTGGAAAAGCGCGGTGGTTTCCAGTCCTTACCTCCCTGGGCCCTCTGGGTTCACCGCCTGGGGCAGCGAGGCCCCGTTCTGGTTAGTCCTTCCCGAGGGTAGTCGCCTGCAGCCGGAGTCCTGGGTGGCTTTATTCGTGGTAAATACACTGACGTTCGAGCGCAAGTCTGGAAGGCTGCGCCCCTTCATTCCAGCGGAAAAGAACGTGCCCTGTGCTGGAACTAGTTATTCACGCCGGCACCAGTTTACGTGGTAAACTGATTCTAGTTCACCTAAGAAACTAATTCTGAAGGCTCAGCGGGCGAGTCTTTGTATCATTTTTCTGGCTCTTCGCTGGCACTTTTGGGCACTTTCAATCCAACCCCTGTGTTAATGTAAAGCCCATATGGTCTCTGCTCCCTCCCTCCCCTGTGCCTTTTGAGGGTTTTCTTGAAGGTTGTTTTTTTTTCCCCCCTCCCACAGATCTACACAACCCAGACATTAGCAAACTGTACAACTTCAAATCCCTGTGGTGAGTAAAACTTGAATCAATAAAAATTATATTTGTTAATTAAAGTTATTGTGGTAACATTGGGTAATAGCACTCTGTTTAAATTGCACTCTCATGAGTGATGATAAATATACTTACTTGTGGGATGGTGATGGGGGAGAACTTACAAATAGAACAGCCCATCTGCCCTGCCTTGCGACTTCTCCTGCCCATCTGCCTAGGGATGGGCCATCTTTCTGGTGATTTCTGTGGCCCCTATAGAAACGCAAGCACGAATTTTAATTAGCAGAATGTATTGTAAACCGTCCCTCGGATTGGAGAGTTGGCCAGCGGTGTGCCAGGCCCAGACACGTGGCGAGCCTGCCGTTTTTCCTGAGGCACATACTCTCTGAGAGGGCCGTGGTCTGAAGGTGAAACATCTAGGCGTCGTGTCTTGCACCCGGACAATCATCGGATTACTTTTGTTGGGATGAGGCAGTGTCACAAATATGTGCGTGTTTTGAGGGATCTGGAGGAAGGACAAACTAGTGAAGCAGCGACCTTCCGACATCACATGTCTTTGTCAAAAACTCTCTACTGTAAGTTAAATACAGGAAGGAAAATAATTTGGGGGATGTCAGATGAGAATTTTTTAAAAAATGTTTAGCATGATGTCACAGGTGCCCCAAATCAGAAGACAGGTTTTAGGAGTCTTGAGGCAAAGGGCAGAAAGGTGGGTTTGGGCCGGGAAAGGGGGGGGGAGGGAGTGCGGGCCAGTGTCTGGTCGGGGAAGGCGAGACAGTGGGGCTGCTGACGGGACGCTGCTGCGGCGGCGGGCTTCCAGGACTTGGGTGAGGGTGGAAAGAAGTGGACTCTTTGTCCCCTGGTCTCTCAAGAATTAGGTCCCTGCGGCCTAAGCCACATCTTTCCTCAGGTGTAGAGGGATCTCGGGAAATGTCAGTGAAGGAATACCACTTGTCCAGTGAATTCATAAAGGTCCTGGAAGACCCAGCCGATACAGGTTTCAGTTTTTATAGCCATGACAACATCCATAGTAGTCATTTCTCATTCGTCACAGAATCTGGGGTGAGCATACTTTGGATACCATTATAAAATACTCTAGACTGCATTTTTTTTAAATTGGCTTTTTTCTTTTAAGCCATGTCACATATTTTATCCTGGGCATACCGAAAATTGTTTACTTCTTGTTTTTTCACTGGCAAACTACTGTTAATGTTTTAGAATTCTAGCAGGAACATATTAAGAGGTGTACAGAACTCCAGAATGACCGATACTGCGGAAGCCGTCCCCAACTTTGAAGAGATGTTCGCCAGCAGATTCACGGAAGGCGACCAGGAGTACCAGGAGTACCTGAAGCGCCCCCCCGAGTCCCCCCCGATCGTGGAGGAGTGGAACAGCAGGGCCGGTGGGGGCCAGAGGAACCGGGGCAACTGGTGCGTGTACTGCTGGGGAGGAGTGACGTGCCGACGGCTGATCTGGGAGGGAAGGCCTCAGTCTGCTTGGCCCCGGGACCGCCGTGGGCAGGGACCCGGGTGGTTGTTCCCTGGCGCAAAGTAACTGGCTGCTAAACACTTGTCGTAGTGTTTTGTCAGCCCACGTGGTTTTGCGCCTTATTGTTAAATGTGTGTGTGTTAATTTTTTAAAAAAAAATGTTCTTTCTGTGGATGAATATTTTATTTGCGAATAGACTTTAAAAACCTCGAGTCTTCTACAAAACTTTGCATAAAATTCCATAAAGAAAGTAATGTTTTTGTTTTTAGAAAGTACATATAGTGGAAGTTACTTCTATTGAATAATTCACAATAGAGCAGGGGGGTCAAACTCATTTCCACCGGGGGCCACATCAGCCTCTTGGTGGCCTCCAAAGGGCCGCATGTAATTTCAACTCCTGAACAGTGAAGGAGTAGTTCCATTTAGACAGTCCTAAAATTGTTCCAGCCCTTTGAAGGCACCTGTGAGGCTGCTGTGGCCCCTGGTGACGATGACTTTGACACCCCTGGAATAGACAAAAGGAGTAAATCGCCATTGTTTGTTTGTTTTCACAATTTAACAGTTTTCCATTTGAATCAGAACCGTCCTGTTGTTTGGGTTTGGGTTGGAGTCTGCCCATTTCTCTGCCAGCCATGCCCAGTGTGACAGTGACAGGAGGACTCGAGTGTAGGGAGTGTTTCTGAATAACTGGTGCTATAACGTTCCACAGAGAAAAGCGTTCACCACTCTCTTGTTTACTGAGTACTCAATCGAGAAATCACATGCCACAGGGTAGACTGGTCCTGCCTTGTCTTAAAAGGGAAGTACAAACACGTTCTTGTTTTTGTGTTGCAGGTTGCAAGATAACAGACAGTTCCGAGGCCGGGAGGGCAGACGGGGGTGGCCGAGTGACAACCGGTCCAACCAGTGGCACGGCCGGCCCTGGGGCAGCAGCTACCAGCAGCACAGACAGGAAGCCTGCTACCCCCACCAGCGCGGACACTACGGCTACAACCAGCGGCCCCCCTACGGCTACTACTGACGCAAACGTCTGCGGCTTTCAGTAAAACCGTCCGCTTTGTTAACGAGACAAACACCCGTGTGTATCTTCTGTTGGTCGTAGTTTTACATCTGACTGTAGAGAACAGGTTAATTTTGGGGGGAACTTGAGGTCTAAGATCTGACCGGAGAGCTGGGATGGTTGCTGGGCTGTGTTGCTTACCTTCTACCTCAGGCTCTTCTGCTTCAGGGCTTCGCAGAGCTCCGGGCTCTTCCTTGTCCGCCCTTCCGTTCTGTCTCTGCCACACACGGCTGTTAGAAATTCTAAAACAGAAAACCTTTGCTTTTGCTTTTCAGTATGAGCACATGTCCATTTACATAGATGTGCCCGTCCCTGCAATCTGACAGAGGTTGTAAAGCCAACTCGTGACCGCACAGCCGTGCTTAGTTGTGATGTGTTGTGCGTTAACACCCGCCCCTGGAAGGCAAAGCAATGCAGTGGATTTCATTCTGGGCTCCTGTTGCTATGTGACTATGGTACTTTCTGATTCCTCCGTGGGTGTGAGTCAGCTCCACGGTCATCCTGGTCTGTCTCCTTTAGAGGAGTGTCACGGATAAAACCGTACCATGAGGGAAGGAATCGTTCTCAGTTCCAGTGTCTTGCCCTAATGGTGGGTGGGGTTAGGGCTCGCAGTTGTTTTACGCGAAGTCTAAGGCCTCTTGCTAACCGAAGCATAGTAGGTCCACATTCACGCCACACGGAAGTACGAGGAAAACGCTGGAACGTCCCCCGTCCTTCCCAGGCACGTGTCGTGACCCCGCTGCCCCTGTCTGACCCTGCCGTCTTCTCCGGTGCTCAGTGCTGGCTGCCCCGGCGACGTCACTGTCCCTCCCAGGTGCACTTTCCCGCTCTCGCTTCTGTAAACGCCCTGGTGCTGTAACTTCCCTTCAGAGTGATCATTGTATTTCAAGTAATCTTAGCGGCCATTACAATGGCTTTATTTAAATAAAAGACTCAAAATGTGAATCTACTCCGCAAGTTTTGGTGGTCAGCCTGTTCTTTCACACAGTGCCATGAGGCTGACGCTCTTCTGTTACTGTCCCCTTCATGCCCACTGAGAAAGGTCCGTCTGACTTGAAAACAGCATTAGGAGTGCGTGTTTCCTCACAGGCCCCGGGGAGTAAAACGCGCCTTCCGCCGTCTGCGTCCTCTCCTGCACTCCGCGCCGGGCCCTCGGCTGCTCCGGGGCCTCGTGTCCGTGCTCCGGCCCCAGCTCTCCCCTCCCCTCCCCTCCCCCTGTCCTGGAGAGCCATCTTTCCGGTGACTTCTTGTTTTTGGAAAGGACCTGATAAAACAACTGTTCACGCTCAGATGTACATAAAAGCAAGGGGTTGCCTCCACTCCTCTAATCACATTAACGGACACCCACAGAGACGGGTCGTGCCACTGTGGACACGTAGTCCCGAGAGGTGACCCCGGCCAGACCATGGCCCAGCATCTTCTCCGACAGCGGCTGGGCCATGACAGACACTCACCGACCAGAGCAGGCCTGGCACGGCCAAGCGGGGCGGCAGCAGGCCGCAGCTGTGGAGTGGGGCCCTGGAGGCCCTCCGTGGTGCCCGCTCCCAACGCTCACCAGGGAGGCCCAGCGGTCCGGGGCAGAGCTGGGGTGAGGGTGCCGACCCAGAGGTCCGGGGCAGAGCTGGGGTGAGGGGGGAGACCCAGAGGTCCGGGGCAGAGGTGGGGTGGGGGTGCCGCTCAGAAAGCTCAGGAGGAAGGGGACTGTCCAACAAGGTTTGAGTATTCTAACCCCGACAGAGTACGGCACCCACGGCCTGACCACCATCCCTGCTCGAAACGAGGGTAAGAACCTTCCCTTTCACGTGAGCTGTCTCTGCATTCTGCATGCGTTATCTATATGCTGGTGGTTTCTTTCTTTTCTTTTTTAACCCAACATTCCATTTGTTTTATTTTATGTAGTATATTTAAAAAGGCACACTGACATTTATTCTCATTCATCACACACACGAACTCTGAGATAGAGCTTTCACATTAGTTTCTCTTTTTTTTTTCTTTTCTTAAACAGCAGTCGTGTGTGCCCCAAACCAGGGAGACACAAAAGACATGGTTTCTGCTTCATGCACAGAGACAGAAAATTACATCAAAACAGTAATAATAGCCCTGGCTGGCACAGCTCAGTGGATTGAGCGTGAGCTGCGAACCAAAGCATCGCAGGTTTAATTCCCAGTCAGGGCACATGCCTGGGTTGCAGGCCACGGCCCCCAGCAACCACACATTGATGTTTCTCTATCTCCTTTCCTTCCCTCTCTAAAAATAAATAAAATCTTTAAAAAAAACCAGTAATAATATAAGAGGATTAAAATAGTGTCAAGTGGAGTTAATCTCAAACAGATGGTCTGTTGGAACAGCATGAAGTGTCAGGAGTCCTGGCTTCCAGTTCCCTCCCTGCAAGGTGTGTGACCTTGAGAAAACCACTTAGACTCGGAGTTTAACTGCTCACCTGCAAACTCGGGGATCATGCCCACCCTGCCCTCTCCCAGTGTTATTGTGAAAATAAAGGAGGGCTCATGCGAGAGTGACACAAGAAACCAGAATCTGTGACCCTTAACCCCCAGCGGCACGTAACCGACGCTGCACAAACGTGTGTTGATGCGAAGGGAGGTAGGTGTTTGGTGAACTGTACGGCACGGCGTTCGTGTCCAGGATGCAGAGTACCTGCCAGAGGGGGAGGCCGGGAGGACGCTCAGTGAGGGGGAGCTGCGAGCGTTTCCTTACATGAATTAAAACATGAAGGGGGAGTTACCAACGCTATCAGACCAGAAAAGTGGGGACGAGCTTTTAAAACACCCCTTGGATTTTAGGGTTTCCGGGGTGGGATGGGAGGCGCAGGTCAACAAGTCCCCCTCCAAACTCATGTGTTGGATGTGACTGCCCGCCCCCTTGCAGGGTTAAGCGACACAGTGCCTGCCACCAGGCTGGGCCCGGTCTGCGTGGGCTCTGCGGCTGCAGAAGGAGCACGGGGCGGGGCATCCCCGGGCTGCCCTGGGCACACGCCCAGCACGCAGGTCCCCCACCGGCGTCTGCACGGGCTGCCAGGCTCACTCAGCTGGTGTTCCCACTCCGGTCCCCGCAGGGCACCGAGCGCCTGCATGTATCAACTACTAGTCAGATTTCCTCTGGGTTTCGGTGACTTCTCCAGCTCCAGGGGAGGACGTGACGGTGACCTCACGGTTTTTTTCCACTGCCAGTGCCGTCAACTCCCACCAGGAGCGCCAGCCTCTTCGTCTGAACTAAGTGAATGAAGCTGCTCAAATTGCTCAAGGCCAGAGCTTTCCCTTGTTTGTGTGTGTTCTTCTCATTTTAAAGTCTCCTTCACCATACACGTTGTGTGTACACAGAAATGTGATCAAGAAATGAAATAATACAAACGTGAACAATCTGCGCCCAGGTGGCGGTTATGGCCTGTTGTGTGTCTCTTCCCCACGCCCACACAAACACACATGAATTTGACATACATGAACATTTCCCTTTTTTTTTTTTATTAAGGTATGGCTATTTTATATATAAAAATACATACACATATACACATATACATGTATGCTCTTTGTTTATGCAACAAAATATAACAGACTCCGGGTCAGCAGTCACAGATTAAAATCTGAAGATTTGGTTTTGGTAACACACCACAGTACGGATTTTCCGAATGACAGCACGACCGTTCTGCTCCAGGCGGACACTGGGCCGTCTCCCGTTCTCCGCCCTGCTGACGACGCCCACTGCTTCCCGCGTCCTCCGGTGCTCGGACGTGCTCTGTGGGGTCGTCTGCAAAAGTGGAACTGGGGGGGGGGGTCAAAGGACTGGTGCTTTCAGTTTTAATAAACGCCACCCCATTCCCTAAAACAAACACTGCAGCCGTTCAGTCCCCCCATGACACGTGAGCGTGCAGGTGTGTGCCCCCTCACCCCCCGCCCGTGACTCCAGTTTCCCGTTTGGACGGCGGTGAGTTGTCACATTCTAAATCGGAGGACTGGACCAGGTCGTGTTCCGTCGTCGGTCACCCTTGGTTCGTGTTCCACCGGGACGCTGTGCCTTACGTCTGCACCTTTGTCTCATCATTTTTCCAGGACTTCCTTGATGACGACACCTTCACGTGTTTGTCGGTTCCACCTCTTGGCTTCCCTTCCTCAGACTCCAGCGAGGGAGGAGCTGACGTCCTCTCGGTCTCTGCTCCGGCCGCCTCCCTCCCCTCGCTCCCCTTCCTCTGTCCCACCCGCCGAATCACATGCCACGTTCGACATCTTCTTTCTTGGTGGTGTCTCCAACGTGGCTGTTATTTTGATGACACTTTCACCTTTTATTCTGAAACCTGATTGGCCACCCTGCCAGCGCTCACCAGCCACGTGTGGTGGCCGGGCCCGCGTCGGAAGCACAGCTCTGGGAGGACAAAAAGCTCAGCGTTCTGTTGCCTCGCCCCCCGACTCCCCACGATGCTCCCACCCCCAGGTGTCACTAGGGAAACCTAAGGCTCTGACACAGCTTGAAAGCCACTGCGAAAGTCAAACGGCACGGCGGGTGAGGGGAGCTTCACGCAGAAATGACCACAGTCTACAACTGGTGCCGCAGAGTGTCGGCCTGTGCCCCCCCCGAACTCTCACAGCAAGGGGACCAGACAGACGGCTGGACACACAGCCGGAACAGGGTCATGGAATGCCGGGCATCTCCACTGCATCGTAAGGACTCCCTGAAGAGAGCCTGTGTGGGGAGACGTAGGCGGTGTCGCCCCCGGAGCTCAGAAAAAGGCAGCGCCTGTGCCTCCATCCCCAGTGTCCGGTACCGTCCCAGGGGAGGGGCTGGGAGACACACGGGGCCGCTCCCCGCGGCAGAAACGCGAGCTCCAGACGGCCACGCGCTTTCCCCCGCCCCCGACCCCACGCCCTCCAGGTGGCCTCGGAACAGCTGGCGGAGGAGACGGCCCAAAGGGGCGGGGCGCGGGACGTGCTCGCCAGGGGGTGCCGCGGCCCAGTCTCGCTGGCAGGCGTGTTCTCGACTCAAACGAGTACATTTGGCCTCTCATTTAGAATTGAGTCCCTGTCGGTCGTCCAGCCCGATTCCATTCTCAAAAACTTCAACTGAAGGGGATTTCTGAAAGCTGTGAGTTAAGGGAGGCACTGGGGGTCATACTGACTCCTCCACGGCAGTGGCCCTGACCTTCTGGGCACCCAGCCGGCCTGGGCTGGCACCACGTTCCAGCCTGAGCTACGCTCACGGCATGGGGAGACGGCAGCCTCCGAGGGGCCTCGGAGAAAACGAGAAAACGAGAAAACGGGGCAGGAAGGATCCCCGGTCTCAGGCGCTGCAGGAGGGACTTCCCGACAGCGCAGTTCAGTGCCTTCTTCACGTTGGGCGGCTCTCCGCTTCGGCGCTGTGGTGCCCCCTCCTGGACCAAAATGGAAAATCTAGTAGGTCCTTGCGTTTTTAGTCTCTAGGCACATGTGTTAAATAAAAAACCTGACGTGGGGGCCATGGCAGGTTCCAAAATTGATATTCTGCATTATAGTTAAAGGAACTACTTACCCAAATCCCTAGAATTTTTGCACAGGGGGGGATGCTGGGAACCCACAGCCCAGGAAAGAACTGCCTCCCTCCGTGTGTGAGTTTTCAGCCGCCTGGGATTTTAAACCCTGCAAAGGCACCACCTACACGCTCTGGCTCTCTCTCCAGCCCCCCAGCAAAGGAGTGGGTGGGGAGAGGCCCCCCCCTAGCAAAGGAGTGGGTGGGGAGAGGCCGCCGGAGCCAGGTTTCCTGCTCCTGCCGCCGGGGCAGGACGAGCTGGGTTTTGCCTCTTTCTTGGGCTCTGTCAGGGCGAGGTGTAAGCAGAACGACGTACACACCTTGAAAAGTATTTTACAGCAGAAAAATGCTAACCGTCGTTTGAGCCTTCCGGGAGTCGCAGTCCCTTTGCTGGCGGAGGGTCTCGCCTCGCTGTCAGCGGCTGCTGACCGATCGGGGTGGTGGTTGCCGAAGGCGGGGGTGGCTGGGGCGACCTCTTCAAATAAGGCAACAGTGACGTTTGCCTCGCCGACTGCTTCTTCCTTTCACGAATAATTTTTCCGTCGCACGCAATGCTATTTGACAGCACTTTACCCACGGCGGAACGCCTCTCAAAACTGTGGTCCGTCCTCTCAAAGCCTGACGCCGCTTCGCCCACCAAGCCCACGTAGTGTTCCAGATCCCCTGTCGCCAATTCCGCAGGCCCCACCTCTTCGTCGCCGCGGGAGACTCCGTCTGGGGACACCACCCTCTCTGCTTGACCACAAGCAGCAAACCCTCGTCCGTCGGAGGCTCGTCGTGGGACCGCAGCCAGTCGGCCACGTCCTCGGGCTCCACGCCCAGGTCCAGGTCTCTCGCGGTGTCCACCACGTCCGCGGCGACCTCCTCCGCGCAAGACGTCGGCCCCTCCCTGAGCCCTCTGGGGGGGCTGGGATCAGCGTCCTCCAGACTCCTGTGAGCGTGGAGATTCCGACCTCGTCCCATGAGTCACGTATGTTCTTGATGGCTTCTGGAATGGTGAACCCCTTCCCGAAGGTTCTCAGTTTACTCTGCCCAGACCCGTCGGAGGAGCCGCGGTCCACAGCAGCCATGGCCTCACGGAACGTGTTTCTCAAATAGCAGGACCTGGCGCTGAGAGGACCCCCTGACCCACGGGCCGCAGCGCGGACGCGGCGTGAAAACGACGTCGATCTCATCATACATCTCCTCATACATCACACATCTTATACATCTCCGTCAGCGACTTCTCCTTCGCATTCCCGACCTGGCGGACGGTCTGGCGCAGGAGGCCCGGCTTGCGGCCGACCTCTGCCTTGGACACGCCCCCCTCGCTGAGCGTGATCATCTCCAGTTTCTGGTGCAAAGTGAGGGCCGTGAGGCTCTTCCTCTCGCTCGGGCACCGAGAGGCCATTGTCGGGTGGTCCTCCGGCCTGATGACTGCACCGCTGCTGTGTCCCGGGGGACAGGGAGGCCGGAGGGAAGGGGGAGAGATGGAGGGACAGCTGGCAGGTGGAGTGGCCAGAGCACACACGCTTATCCACCAAGTTCACTGTCTCGTGTGGGTGCGGTTCACCGTGCCATGAAACAAGGACAACAGAAACATCAAGGGTCCCTGTCCACAGGTCACCGTAACAGATATAATAATAACGAAAAGCATGAAATATTGTGCGAATCACCAAAACGTGACCCGGAGACACGAAGCGAGCGAGTGCCGCTGGGAAAGCGGCCCTGAGAGAACTGCTCAGCACAGAGCGGCCACGGCCCTCCAGCGCGTGAAACCACCGGTCCCTGCAAAGGGCCACGGGAAGAGGTGTGCCTGTGCAAGTCTCCATTATTCTTACATTCTCACAAAATGCTCAAGCATTTTAAAAAAGATGCAGACGACAGTTTTGCACATAGATACGCATTTTGAAACATACAGACTACACAGCAGGGACCGGTTTTCCCGTCGCGTGGAAACCGGAGTGGAAGGCCGTCCCCAGAACGCCGGCAGTGGCGTGGGGACAGTGTCCTGTCGGTCTCCCGTTGGGGCGGGCCGCACTCAACCAGCAGCCAAGGGACCTGGGTCCTGGTCGTCACCGTGCACAGTGCGACCCCGAGTGTCTCTCAGCTTCGGGAGATCAGAGGCCCCGTCACAAAAGAAAAGGGGCCGACTCAGGTCATCTTGACTGTCCTCTCCGGCTGTTCTGTAATGCCATGAAATCCAGGTCATACTTTCCAAGCCATTCGGGGTCAGGGATGTTTAGAACCTATATCCAAGGTGCAGAGAGCTGTTCTCATTTAAATATAAATGGATTTTTTGGTTTACATTTTCTTCTATGCATTTAAATACACTTTTCTTTGTAACAGCCTCTTTGTCATCAACAATAAAAAAATTTCTCAAGGATGTATTTTGTAATGTCTTACTTTTATTTTTTCTCAACTTGCTTCTCCAATTTCTCCAAGACCTCTTCTGGACTCGTGGAGGCCAGAAGCTTCACCACCTTTTCACGAGATTTAGCGCCCTGGGTGGAAGGGAAAAGCCCGCGTCAGGGTAACACACTAAACCTCCCGACCCCGTCAGAGACGGACCCCAGCTGCCTGCGCGGCAGCCACGTGCTGGCGGGGCCCTCAGAGGGTGGCCCGCAACCGTCCCGCCGGCTCAGCCTCCCCGTCCCCCGGCCCCGCGAGCCACCCTGAGGCCCCTCTTAGCTCCCACCGTGCTGCACATTTCACTACTCTCCAGGGCTTTCGCATTCGGCCACGAACTTCTCTAACAACAAAAGCTGGGCATTAAAACTTTTAAACGAATTCTGCTTTGTAGCCATTCTTCTGTTTAAATTTAAAGTAAACATTATTTTTTAAGTTGCCAAAACAAATACTGCAATTTCATACAAACTTGGTATTAAACAATTCCAAAATACAGAACAAATCGTTATTCATGCTGCTACGCGTTTCTGAAAACTAGAACAAGCTGTCCACGCTTCTGAGTGCTGTGACTCCACGGCTGCCTAAGACAGCTGCCAGTAAGGGGACGTGTTCTGAAACACAGCCCTTAGAGAAGCCAGGATCGGAGCAGGGCTTCACCCGGTTGGCTGGGAGCGGCGCAGGTGGGGAAGAGCGGGGAGTGCCTTCCCGCAAACATCAGAGCGTGCACAAGGGCAATAGACCGGATGTGACCTGCCGCAGGTAGGGGATGCTGAGGGACCTGCTGTGCTCAGGTGGATTTTTAGGTGCAGCCTACCCATCAATGGCTCCGAGTGCCAGCTGGAACCTGGGCGGGAGCTACAGGGCACAGCTCTGGGAAACAGGTAGAATTCTAAGAGACACACACAGGGCAGGGTCTCACCCGTGCAGAGCTATCCCAGCAGGTCTAGGGCAATGGTCCAGAACCTGAGTTTCAGGATGCGTTCCCCGGCGGTCTTGCCACCACCCCGCTGCAAGCCCGAAGCTCAGTGGCCTCACGTGAGCTTCCCCCAGTGGGCAAGGGCCACGTGCGTGCGGGGCCAAAAACACTCGATGGACTCACTAGTGGAGATGACCAACAACATGGACCATTTTAGATTGTCCAGCGTGGTGTGACTCGAGGGAAAGGAGGGGCAGAGGTAACCTGACAGAAAAGGTACAGCAGTGACTCTGGAAGGGCAGAAGTCCTGGAAATGGTGTCGGCTGAGGAACGGAAAAAGGGCACGTGGACAGTCTGCATCAGGACCAACGCAGTAGGAATGAAGACGAAACAGGAAGAGTTCACAGATTTTAGTAGTAGCAGGAATGACAGTTAAAAACAATCAGTTTTTCAATACTTGGAAAAGGAAAACATCAGCATTTTGAAAAGAATGACTAAGGCGGGCTGCTCAAAGGTATTTAAAAGGAGAAGAAGAGACACCCACCTTATCCAAAACCACATCGCTCTTCCTGAGCTCCAGGACCTTGGAGAGAAACCGACAGAGCTCCGCGTTGGCCTCTCCTTCTGACGGGGGAGCCGCGATGGCGACACTCACAGCCTCGGGGGTCAGATCTGGAACGAAAACGGTGCGGACCTCACCCCGAAGTCCTCCCTCGGGGAGTGAGGGTAGTCTGCATTTGTCGGGCACACGGGTTTTCGCTGAATAACTGCTGGATGCAGAAGTGAAGGCTGAAACTAATCGGGCCTGAGGGAGCGTGATAAACACGATAAATGCACCTCCACCAGTAAGAAAATAAATCTGGATGAGAAAATCAGCATCTACCCGCACCCTGCTGACCAAGCTGGGCCTGCAGAATCCTGGGCGTAGGCAGCTGGGAACTAGGCCTATCCGGCAGGAAGTGCTCCAGGCAGAGAGCAAGGCCAGGGCTGTGGCCCCAGCCACCTCCCTAAAGAAGGATGACTAGGGCAGCCCCTGGACTGCACAGAGTTGCTCAGGGCTTCCTCCTCAGGCAAGCAAGAGCACTGAGTTGGATTTGTCTCTTATGTGAAGTCCTTCTTTAATGTTTTCAAAATGCAATATATATTTTTTTAAGTTTTTTTTTAGAGTGTATTTGTTTATTTTTAGAGAGAGGGGAAGGGAAGGAGAGAAAGGGACAGAACATCAATGTGTGGTTGCCTCTTGTGCACCCCCTACTGGGGACCTGGCCTGCAACCCAGGCATGTGCCCTGACTGGGAATCGAACCAATGACCCTTTCCTTCGCAGGCCCTTTCTCAATCCACTGAGCCACACCAGCCAGGGCTCAAAATGCAATCTTTAATGAACGTTTACATAACACAGACACTAATGTGAAGGGCACACAAACATGTTTAAGGACTTTGCAAATTATTATTAACTTAAATATTAACTTAATATTAACTTAAACTTAACTTAAATATTAACTTAATATTAACTTAAATAAATATTAACTTATTTAATCCTCATAACTTTATGAAGACATCAATACCAATATAGTTTCCACTTTACAAATGACATAGGCATCAAGATGGGCCCAAGATCACATAGCTAGCAAGTGATGTTGTGAATCAAAAATAAATTCAAACTCATGCTTTGAGATCCAGGGATAAAGAACACCGCTTCTGAATAGTAGTGGTCCTGACTCGCCCATCAGCACGGCCTTTCCAAAGAGCAGCCGGCCTGCGGTCAGCCCTCCGCCGCTGTTTCTGAGAGAGAGAAGTGTTTGCCCGGAGCAGGCTGCCAGTGAGCTCGAGCTGGCCCCGCGTCTGGGGCCACTCGGCGGGCACTTCACACGCTCACACTCCCTGCATGGGCACCCTGGCCACGGGCTCCGCGAGAATGAGGTCAAACAACCGTCCTCCTCCCCTGGCACTGATTCCAAGGTGTGCTTTCTCAAATTTTAATCCCCCCGAAATCCACATGTTATAATAGATGGACATAAAGTGTTTAATGGTTATAGATTTTGTCTTTCTAATTGGTACGTGAACTATCTGTGTAGTTCATAGTTGGCGGCATCTTAGATCTCATGACACATGGCACTCGGAGAGCAGCCAGCGCCCACGGCAACGACTCAGGAGATGCTGGCCACAGGGGGCATTGCCAACAGATACCCAAGCTGACACGGCCGTTCATGCAGCCAGGCCTGGCACCCCAGTTCTGAGGTCTTGTTTTAAAAAATATTTTAAGAAATTGGCATACTTTTAGAGGTAAAAAAGACCTTCTATGTAATTCAGATCAATGGTTTTTACACTTATTTTCCACTCCGAATTCCCTGCCACACACACACACACAGCAATTTCCCCTGAAATCCCAACACATTTAAAACAAACGTAAACACAGCTCCTGAGAAACCCTGTCTGCGCCACCCGCCCCCTTGCCCACTGCAGATTCTTGAGGCAATAGCTTGAAAGCTTTTAACGTAGTCCAATTTTCCCATCTCACAGATGAGGAAACTGGACCCAGAAATGTTTTGTATCATTTTGATTTAAAGCAAGTTCACACGGGAGCTGACGATCCAGTCTCTCGGATCTCAGGTTTTATCCTCGTCCCTGGGCCTCCCTGGATCATGAAACTCCACCAAAACGTTTTCTTTCTGTCTCTAGCCAATGCCTCCAGTTCTGGAATAAGACAGCTAATAATCTAAGCCACCCACGTCTTTTATGTGCCCTTTCTAAAACACCGTATTTTTTAAAAAAGAAAACATACCATGGTTTTTCATCTAATCTGATACGCTTTAAACTCTGTATGCTCTTAAACACTGGTTTTACAACGTCATATTAGAATTGAGAATTTAAGAATGAAAAAAGCCTCTAAATGCAGATGAGAAAAACGCACTTGACTGTGCAGGATAAACTTTCAACAAAGGCAAAGGGAAGGGGGAAGGGGCCGCCCACCCCAGCGTTCAGATATACCTGTTACAGCATTTTGTTTAGAGCCAGGTTTGGCATGGATGGCTATGGTGACACAACCTTTAGGATCAACTGCCACAGGACCTAATTGAGGAAGTGGTCTCTCTGGCTCCTTGCTCTGGCTTTTACCCTAAAACGACAACAACAACCACGCTACAACTTTACAGGTTACAAAATATGTCCCCACACATTTGATCCTTCCACTACTCCCCTTCACCTTTAACCAAGACGAGCTGGGCTACTCGTCCGTGTGCGGGGAATTCTGGCCACCTGCAATGGTTTTCCAGCATCTGTCACGGCCCAAATCGGTTCTTCCACGAAGCCTTCCCATCAACCCCGTAGAGCGTTTTCTTCCTGCCTCGGAGACCTGACTCTGACCTGAACCTTAGTGTCTATGGTCGGCTCTGTGCTTCCCAGCCCGCAGGGGCAGAGGCCACTTATGTTTTGTGTCTCAGGCGGCACGAGCTAATTAATAAATGTCTGTGAACAGCTAAGCCTGGAAGCGTGCGTGCGTGCATGTGCGTGTGAATCAGGGGGAGAGACGGAACAACGGTGATGTTTCAAGGCCTACTAGGTGAGTTAGCTGCAGCAGAACTTCCCGCCCGGCGCACGCAAGCGCCGGGCAGCCCGCAGGCAGAGGCTGTGTAAGCGTGCAGGAGGACACCGGCTCCAGCCGGCTCCAGCCCCCGCCCGAACTAAGGCCGCAGCGGCAGAGAAAGAACCGCTGCTGCAGCAACACACGATGCGGTCCGCGCGCAGGCGTCATTTCCGGGGAAGGGAGGCTGTCCAGCCTGGGCGACCCAGGCACCTGCGGGCTGGAGCTCGCCGTGCAGAGTGGGCGCGGCGAGGTTTTGACAGAAGAGGTGAGGCGGGAGGGGGCAGAACAGAGCCTCCCGGGAGGCGCAGGCCGAAGGCGCCTCTGGACACACGCCCACCGGGAGTGCAGGGGACGTGGTCCCGGGAGCTCCCACCCCCGCCGTGATGTTTCTCTCCCGCGGCCCACCCCTCCGCTGCCACAGGACTTGGCTACTAGCCTTGTTCGTCGCACCAGCTTTTTTCGGCATCGCGGCGCCCGCAGGGAGCCGGGCGGAGGCCCGAGCACCAAGTCCCGCTCCGATCGGCCTCAGTCCACAGCCCAGCCCGAGCATCCTCTCCAAGGAGGCGGTGGCGCGGGAGGCCGGCGCCGGAAACGCCTTCTGCGCCTGCGCACACCACGGCCGGAGGCCGCTCCGGCACAAGGGCGACACCTGCCGGCCGGCGGCAGCTATACTCGCTTCTCCACGGCCGCGCGGGACCTTCTTGCTCTGGAAAGTGGCCCAGGCGCCCCAGAGATGGGGGACACCCCCACTTGGGCCAGGCGCTCCGAATCCCAGTGTACGGAGAGGAAGCTAACTGGTGCAGGGAATCATCTGAACTCACTGTGAAGGGGTTAACTAGCTAGAGGGGCACATGACGTTAAGACAAAAAACACGGATGGCAGCTAACAGGATAATGTCCTATTGACTCCGATAGGAGTGAGACCACAAGGGGGCTAACAGCCGAGGCAGGGGGTGCGGTTCTGCACACAACAGGAGACTGGCCCTTCTGCCGGGAGCCTGGCGGACACGGCTGCCTTCCTAAGTGGGCAGCCCGGGTGCACACGCAGGCGTGTGAACAGGTCTAGTGGGAGGGGCTGGAGCTTCTTTCATTAGCCGGGGGAGGGAAGGCGCTGGTGTGAGGCGAGTGGCACAGGTTCAAACGCTCAGGGGAATGGCACCGAGCTGCACCGGGGGCCTAGGTGGACTCGGGGGACCACGAAACCACCACGGCCTCCATCTGTGCGCTTTCGCACACGCTGGACCCGGCAGCCGGGAAGTCGAGGACCACTGGATTCCTCCGGGTGGGCAGAAGGGGCTTCCGAGTTACTACTGGTTGAGTGGTTAAAGCGATCCAAGATGGCTAGCGCGGAAGGATCGAATGACCGGCGGTGGAGTCTCACTGGGCAGGGGGTGAGGAGGGCTGAGAGAAGTCCAAAAACGGGGAGCTGGAGTGCAGGAGGGGGCTGAGCGCACCCAAAGGTGCAGGCAGTTGGCCGTCTGCACGACTTCAGAGGCAGCGCAGTTCCCCGAGGTGGGGCGCAGGGCGTGGCCCTGGGTGGCGGACGTGCTCAAGGTGCTGCAGGGAAGGGAGGAAACAGGCAGCTGGGTTTGGATGGGTGGTCCACCCCTCGTGGACCCGGAGGCCACTCAGTAAGAAGGCTTTGGTGGAACAAAGTGAACCAGGTGTTAACCCAAACCATATTTTCTTTGTTGGGAATCAGTCAGGAAATGAGGCACTAATGCCGAGCCAGCATCACACAGCACCGGGTAAGTCGGCAGCCTGGCGGGGGCTTGGACAGGTCCCCTGGAATCCAAGGGGACCCTGCAAAGAACCACTCAGCCTTTCCCGAAGGTGACTGCGGGGGAGAGCGGAGCCATTGGCCCCGTTTGCCACCAACTGAGCCCCCGACTCGTCACTTCCGCCCCAGATCTCTGTCTCTGCAGAGGACGACGACTGGGGTGGTGCCCGGTGGTGGGGGGAGGACAGGGGCTATGACCCAAATGGCAGAAAACCTATTATAACTGTCTGTACTGGCTCCTAATTTTACCTCCTTTCAGTTCCTGGTAAAGTTCCCTGTGGAAACTCCATCTCATGCTGGCGTTGCCAATGGAGAAAATGGACCGCTAAAGCACACACACTGGACGAGAGAAGAAAGGAGCCGTGCGGCTCTGGGGCTGCGGGTCACGGTGGCCGCAGCCCCCTCATAAAGGACACGTGTTGTCTAATGCAGGCGACAGCGCCCGGGTTCCGCATCTGAAAGGCTGGGCCAGGGAAGCAGAGGACAGACAGCGGTTTGAGCCGATGGGACCGGAAAGGGGAGTGGACAGCACGTCTCGGACGTGCTGCACGCGGCCCTCCGCGCTGGAAGCCCCGCTTCCCTCTAGGGGCCTCTCTCAGGCTTGTCTAGCCCCAGGGAAACCTGTTCTCTGAGACTCCAGCTACCACTTAGGTAGACCTAAAACAAAGGATGCTCTGATAGTGCAGACAAATAATGTGTCTCAATTTGTGGGGTAGATCCTGGAATAATCATACTTTCTAAAAAAAGCAGAATAGCCCTGGCTGGTGTAGCTCAGTGGACTGAGTGCAGGCTACAAACCAAAGGGCCTCCAGTTCGATTCCCAGTCAGGACACATGCCTGGGTTGTAGGCCAGGTCCCCAGTAGGGCGCACGTGAAAGGCAACTGCACACTAATGTTTCTCTCCCTCTCTCCTTCCCTTCCCCTCTCTCTAAAAAATAAATAAATAAATAAATAAAAGAATAGAATATACTTATTTTCTGTAATAAATACAGGTTAGCCGGGTCCTATTGTCAGGTTGGAGAGAACGGTGAGGTGTTCCTTTGGGACCCAGGAACAAGAATGTTTTCCCAGCTCTGCAGCTTGGAAGAGAGGCCCGGGTCTCAGTTCTGTCCCCCACCACTGGCGAGGCTTGTAAACACGCGTTCCTTGGCCCGTGACGAGGGGATTATAAGGGCTCTCACTCACCCCGCAGCGATGCCGCGAGAAACAGACGAGAACGCGTGTGAAGTGCCTGGTGCGGGGTCGGGTTCGCGGTCATCGCTCCGCGGCTTTACTGACGCCGAACCACAGGGGGACGGTCGCCGCACCGCAGCAGGGCCAACGGCAAGCAGCCCTCGCTTCCCCACCTCCTGCAATGACAGCGGGGGAGAGCAACCGACGCCGCAAAAGCCAGATCGAGGACAGGCCACAGCAGCTGTACGGCGGTGGCGAGGCGCCGTTCCTTTGTGCTGCGTCACTGCTGTGAATTAAGGCTAAAAGTTAAACCTCAGTGACCGGGGACCCTCGTTCCAAAACGGCCTCTTACTCTCAGCTTTGAGAAGAAAAAGACGAATGACCAAAATAAAATAATAAATGGGTAATATTTATTTTTTAAAAATTCCAGGGACGTCCCGTATCAGTAAACAGTTCCGTTTCCGGTGCCGCCTACAGCTGCCTCCAGGGCGCCCCGTTCAGTGCCGCACAGCGCAGGCGCCTGCCGTGCCCCAAACGCCAGAACCACGACCCCCCCCCCCCCCCCCGCAGCACACCGTCCTCCTTAAGGCAGAAGCCTTCTCCGTAACGGCTAGTGCAGGGTGTTTGCTGGTTAACCGCACCACGCGTCCCACAGACGCCAGTGGGCTGAGGGTTACATCCACACGGTCATGGTACCGGGGACAGAAAAAAGCCCCCTTTCTTCTGCTAAGAGACCTCAGCCACCAGCATAGCACACTGCCTCCTTTGAAATATAAGGTGAAATGCTACTGTAAATGAAAAAATTTGATATCCTAAGTGACTATTATTTAGAAAAATTCTATTTAAGTTGATACTTAAAAGAATTGTGATTTTTTTAACCGTCTTTGACTAGTTGATATACCTTAAACTTAATTACACGTTTTATTAGGTATCGCTTTCAAAAGAAAAAAGATGTTTATATAAAAATTTTGTTTTATAAAAAGTGTATAAATGTCATTCTGCCACATATCCTTACTATCCCTTCCTTACACAACTGTACCTGTGACATCTGTGAGGCCATAAATATTAAACGTATTTTACTGCTGGGCTAGAACTGTGAAGGTGACAAAGGATGGTGTCACTTCGGCAGGAGCGATTCTGCTGGACATCTTTAAAATTCTGAAGTCATTGTTGGGAACGTATTCTATTCTGCTGCTGGCTTGTGCTCACCGATCTCCACCGGCATCACCATGCCCCGCCTGGACCCCAGGGACGCTCGGCAGCGCCCCCTGGACAGAGGGGCGACAGTGCACTTTGGTGACAAAAGATCTGGTCTGAGACTACACCTTCAGATCCTTTGTGACTATCACATTATTGCAAATTCGTACAAATGCCATTTGTACTTTAAGCTGTACTATGTAACATGTTACTATGCTATCACAAAATACCCTTTTCTGTAAATGCATTGGAAGTTTTCTTGGGCATTCTATTAGACCTATTTCTAGCGACATTCCTGATGCTAACAACCAGGTATTTCAAAACTCCAAATTCAAGGTCAGTTTTCTTAACTGTCTGAAATTAGGTACCTGCGTTAACAGGAGCCCACAGGAATGCCGACCCTGTGTGCCTCCATCGTGCGTCCATCTCATGGAGCCTCCGAAACAGTTCAAACAAAACCAACCAGCCAAGTAACACGAAAACCTTTCCATTATAAAACTGCCGAGAGATCACAAGTCAGCTGATCCACAAAATGATACAGGATGAAGCCGAAATAGCTGTGTTTTTTCCAAACAATTGAACCCAGTTTTCCTTTCCCCTAAGGTTATAAGAAAATGGAAAATCTGCCTTTAAATTACGCAGAGATTTAAATAAGCATTTATCTATCTCCTCTAAGAAACTAAAATGTTTCTTTTCTTAGAATTATAAACATTCATAACACTCAACCTCTTCTCTGTGGCCAGTATGTTTTTTATGCCTACGCGACACCCTTCAGCCGAGGCGGGCCGTGACGCTCAGCTATGTGTAGAAGATGATCTCTGGGATCTGCCCGTCTTCTATGGAGGTGCCGTTGTTGTTGCCGGGGGAGCTGAGGAAGAAGAACACGGTCTTGCCGGCGGGCGTCTCGTGCACCACTTTCTTCAGCCCCTTCGTGCCGTAGTGCGAGTCCGGGCCCTAAACGAGAATGGAGGCTCATCAGTCGTTTTCCTTTAACAAACACTCAGTTTCCGGTGGTGTCTTAATTAGATTAACGATCCGGTATGCTGCCTTATAGCTCCGATATAACATCTGATGCCAAGTCATTTAATGAAAAATGACATTTTTGCTACTAAGCTAATTAGTGACTAAAATCACCGAACAGAGAGCTCAGGTACTAGAGAACAGTGACGGTTTTAAGAAGAGGCTAGGCCCTGGCTGGGCGGCTCAGCGGGCAGAGCACCATCTGGGTACTCCAGGGCTGCAGGTTCGATCTCTGGTGTGGGCACATGCAAGAACCAACCAGTGAGTGCACAAGTAAGTCGATGTTGCTCTCTCAAAAATCAATGAAATACAATATTTTACAAACAGTTATTTTACCTCTGTCAATCGCTCAATCTCGTACTCCAACAAAGAGCTACTTCTTTTTTTTTAAAGATTTTATTTATTTATTTTTAGAGAGGGAAGGGAGGGAGATAGAGAGAGAGAGAGAGAGAAACATCAATGTGCGGTTGCTGGGGGTCATGGCCTGCAACCCAGGCATGTGCCCTGACTGGGAACCGAACC